CCTCCGTTACGAGTTATTCGCAACAAAGGTTGGAAAAGTTTTAAAGGGGGTGTATTAAATAGTAAAGGTAATGTAATTAGGTGAGTTAAAAAAGAGAGGGAAATTATGTGGTTCCAATTTCTACGGAGACCCATGTGGCCCTTTTTTTTTCCTTACTTTTTCCCTCTCTTTTTGACTGGCAGCTCCAATTAATTTCCCTCCAAACTTTTCATGAAAAGTTTAAAATCAATTGAAAACACTTTTAAATTTTTTGGACTTTCTAAATTTCAATACCAAAAGCCCCTTATTTAAATGGGGATTGCCTGTTCCATTCATTTCCCATACAACATCAACAACACTGTTTTGGATTTGGGTTGGGGGGGGGGGGAGGGAAAGCATAATTTAAAGTTTAATTACAAACCAAAAGTTGTCATTGTTTGCAAATTACAAAAACAATCATCCACTAAAATTAGTCATAATTCCTAATTGCTGAGTTAGTAGCAGCATTAGTCCTTTGTACAGAATTAAGCTCCATTATAAGCTCCCAAAAAAGGCAGAATAGCTCCACTTCATCACCTACCAACAGACCTAAAATAAAAAATAAAAAAAAGGACTTGTAGACACCCATTTGTGTCTCCCCAAACCAAACCCGGTGATGAGTACCTTTCACGTCGAATCATAATCGAATAAAGTGAAAGTGTGGAAAGTCTAGTGTTGCGGATAATTTTAATTTATTTTCTCTTCTCTCTGTTTTTGAAAACCTATTTTTAAGAAAACAGCCAATCCAGTTTGTTTGGTCCATGGCAAGGGTATAATAATGGTGTGGTTGGATGGGGCTTGAAAATACCTTTCCAACGATAAATTATAAGCTCAATCCCAATGAATAATGAGGAAGTTATGGCCAAATTACTAAACTGGGCCCGGTTTGAGCCTTATATGCGGCCCAATGATCTAGAGGAGGGCCTAATATGGATTTATCATTCCTAATGCAATTAAGATTGGTTTTAGTCTTCTAGATTCTTCTAGAAGATTCTTTTCATTCCTAATTCAATTAGCATTGATAAATTGACTTTTTAGAGTTTTAATCAGAATAAAACAGTGTTTTTAAGGAAAATACGATTTTGCCCTTCTGTACGACTAAATTTTATCTGAATTTAGAAAACACGTGAAAAAATTAATTAGCGCCTAGCGACAGACATTAGCGCCTGGCGCTAATGCCTGGCTCCTGGCGCTAACTTCTTTTTTCCTCGTCGAAACTCTGATTTGTTTTCCTATCCTTTTCGCTAATTTTCTCTATAAATAGCCTCCTAAAATCTCCGTTTTTTCATCACCAATTCTCATCAATTCTTAATCTCTCTAATTCTCTTCTCTCTCGAAGCTTATTCTTTCTCTTTTTTTCTAAATAACCCTTTTTGCAAACAAAATTCCGCATTCACAAGACCATGAAACACCTAGCATTGTTTGAAATTGCCTTCGCCCTAGACGTGAAAGGTTTTAATTTCTGAGGGTTTGGTCCCAAATCTTTCTTTCAATTATTTTCGTTTAATTGTTTTAATTATTATTTTACTTGAAGTTACTAACGCGTGTATTTTGTTATTAGAAAGAGATACGATGCATCCAAGTAAGTGCTTTAATGGTTTTTATTGATATTATGATGTAGAAATCATGCTTAGGTTGTTATTATGGTTCCTAGCGTCATGTTAGGGTGCTTTGATCTTCCTAGTACCATGTTTAGGGTAACAACTAAAAATTCCTAGTATCAAGTATGATTAAAAGTATGATGCATTTTATATTCTTTCCTAGTATTCATGTTAGTATCATGTTAGAGCTAAATCTTTGATTTTTATTGTTTAGTGACATGCTAGGGTTTGTTATTAATCTTGTTAGTATCATGCCTAGGATCTTGCTATTATTATTATGCTTTAACATGATTATGTTAATTATGATTAATTTTATTATTTTAATTATGATTATAATTGTTATAATGTATGATAATTATGATTATGATATTTATGATGATTTATTATGTTGCTTGATATTTATTGTTATTGCTTGATAACGCCTTTTATGCATGTTTAAAGGGAATTTGTACTTGTAATCACGCTTAATAAGATAATTAATAATCTTGTTTAGGGTTAATATGATTATAATTCAAATGATCGCCAATAATAGATTTATTTGTGCATTAATATTCAACCAACATAGATTAAACAGATTTAGGGTTAATCCTATTGATTGCATGTTAGTCAGAAAGCGCACATGAATACGATCAGAATAAAGTAGAGGCATATTATTAGGGCAGACTCAATCTCTTTTAGGTTGGATTTGTACCTTCATCCCCGAACTACCAGTCATGGTTCCAGACCTATTGGAGTTGACGATCTCCTAGATCGTTAAGGGGTGTAACCTTCACCTCGTGAACGGTTTACAAGTTCCTAAAACTTGTTGGCGACTCTTTTGCTGTATCTTCTTTCCCTTTGGACACCCACCGTACTTTAGTGTATGATCACAGTGGGGTTCAAGCTAGGGGTTAATGCTTGAAATATTCCCTACATTTTTTTGGCGACTCCACTGGGGAGGAAATCTATTTTAATTCCTGAAATTTATTTCGGCAATGATTTAGAATGAGTGGATGAGACTCGAAAAGTTCTAAAGTATTTCATGTGCGTAATTTTGATTAACATTATTGTCATATGCATAAAAAAGATCTCATTGGAAAGACCATCTGTAATGAGTTAAAACATAGGATTTTTACACGTAGGAAATTTGAGGAATATCTTTCACAACTAGGATCGAAATAATGATGCGCGAAACTGGAAAATTTTATCAGCACAGAAAGCTGCTTAGGCATGTAAGAACTAGCGTCAGGGAACAAAGTCTAGCGCCAATAATTTGACGTTAGCGCCAGGCGATAGCTTCTGTCGCCAGGCGCTAAAGCCAAATTGTGGCGCTGGCCTTTGTTTGCTGGTGCCAAGTTCTTCCAATACCGAGCCAGAAATATGCGTTCTAATTTTGACCAGTTTTTAGCACCGTTTGCTCGATCCTACTTCCTGATTGAGTTTTTTCTCACTTTTCTGAAACCCATATGTGTTCTACATATGGACATAATCCTCTGGGAATTCATGCTCCATCTACCTGATTGAACGCTTTGAGCAACAAAGGGTACATCTGAGAATGTTGAATTCACCAAACCATGGAAACGAGTTTTTCTAAACTCGGGGTGTCCCATCCACTCGCGCCAACCCTTCACGGTTAGGCTTCCGCGCGGTGCATCCGGACAATTAACCATGGACCCTCTTTTGACTAACCCATATCCCGAACTTTAGAGAACTAGAGCCATGATTAGGTTGCAAACTCATTGCATCATGTTGTGCCTACTTGACTAAATTATTGGTTGTGCATCCTCTATGAGTTTTTTTCTTAACCGTTTGTTTGACTTGTGCCAAGATTAAATAAACTGATTTATGACTAAAAGAACTTTGCCTAATTAATTAATTGATTAATTAATTTGAGTAATTAAAGTTTAATAATTTAATCAGAGTTGACTTAGTACGACTTTTAGGCATACCCTGTAGAGTAATAATACCGAAAGTAGTTTCCAGATCGACGTTCTAGCAATGGCGCCAAGATTTAAACTGCAGCGCCACTATGTAGAGCGTAGCGTCTGGCGACAGTCCTGTCGTCTGGCGCTACACTGCAAAGAGAGGTGCCAGTCCTGTCGTTTTGGCGACAGTTCGGTTTGTTGCTCGAGTCATCACCTTATGTCTAATTGAGTAGTTTTCTAGTCGATTCCGTTAATTAGTATCTTGTCAAGTCATTAATCGAGTCTAAGCACTAAGTCCCATGGTCTTACACAAGAGTCAAAGCATGTCACTTACATTCACCACATAAAGCACACACTAATGTACACTTTGACCATGTCTAAAGGAGTCTCATATGCGCGTATTTTCTGTAATTTTTTTAGGGGGGTAAGTTGGATATTAATCCTCCAATTAAACCATTTGTTTGAACCCTATACTTAACTCCCAAAAATATATACCTTATTTTTGCCAAAAATATGCACCTATTTTTGCTTTTTTTTCTTTTTAAAACCGTAAAGTCAAGGTCAATTTGAGTCAAGTAATAAAACAAAAATGGTTTAATCTACAACGCGTGGTCAAGAAAGGAAGGGCGTTTTATCAAAGACAACCTTTTTATTCAAGTCCAACTTTTCGACAAACCGATCGCTCGTAAAAGGAAAGCTATGACAATAATGGCAACTCAAGAGGAAGTCAATGAACTCAGGAACCAATTGATTACTGTGACTGAGGCGTTAGAGGTTTTAACCCTCAAGATTGATGATTCTGTGAAACAATAACAGATGGACCTCATGCAAGAGAGTCTGAGCAAACTGCCTAGTGACTATAAGTTTCAAGGAATTAGCTCACAAGGGGTCTCGGTGGACAAGGATCTTCTTCCGCAGAAGTTCAATGCCAACGACATCCCGAAATTCAAAGCGACTGACAACCCTTACTTTCATTTAAGAGCCTTTGAAACGATAATGAGTATCAAGGGTATTGACAAGAAGGTGTTTCCCTCTTTGTTCTCCCTATCTCTTGAAGCCGTTTGCTAACAATGGTTCTTTTCTCTTAAGAAAGAAAGAACCTCTACTTGGGATTCCATAGTAAACGCTTCCATTGATAGATACAAGTGCAATATTCAAGTTGAGACTGACTATAGGGAACTTGAAATCCTCAAGCAGAAGGAGAATGAAGGTTTTATCTCTTTCTTCAAAAAATGGAGAGAAACCTTAGCTAAGATGATCGAGGTGCCAAGTGAAAAAGAATCTGTGAGGTTATTCATCAAGAACCTTCAAGAGAAGTACTCCAAGCATCTTAAATACCAGAATAATCTCCATACCTTCAAGGTCGTCTATGACATTGGAATCAATATTGAAGACGACCTGGTTAAGCTGAAAGCTGCTAACAGTAACTCCAACAGTGGCTGGAAAGGCAAGAAGAACGACAATCCTTATTCTTCCA